TCTCCTAAGGTGTTCATTTGAAAAACCGTTAACAGTCCTGTTTTTATGCGTTTTTTGCAGCTATGCAATGCAGAAAACGCATACTGACGAGAGATTATCTGTGTGTGTTTGTGTGTGCATCTGTCACGGTTTTTCATCTCAAGACCTACAAAAGCTACAAGACTGAAACTTTGGGAACTTAATCTACACGCATGTTCAGGCTCGAATCCCCAAAATGGGGCGCCATTACAGGCATGATACCCACGTAAGAGCCCGCCAAAGTTTTTTACGGGCAAGCTGCTAACTCGGGAACCAGAAGTGCTTGGGGCTGAAATTTTAAGAGGATGTTCCTCGTCTAAGTAGGTATTAATGAGCTCAAACCCAGCCCACGGGTAAGCGTGGTACCCACGCACGGGCTCACCAATGTTTCTCTCGGGTAAGTTGCTAACTCGAGAACCTGGAATGCTAGAAGACTGTAATTACAGTTATAGCGATCAGTCTTAATTTGTTTAGCTAGAAGCGCTTGCCGAAAAAACCGGTACCGCTAGCGACAAAAACTGCGGGGAACTATGCAAAAGCGTATCTTCGTACAGGCAGCCCGTACGTTGGCCAATTATTATATTTGATGAGCCCACTGGCGGATTCGGGAAGGAGGGGGGCGGGAGGAGGGCGGTGCGGCGAGTGAAGGGTGGGTTGGGAGCTGCCTGAGGAGGGTGTAGTGACGAAGGGAGAAGGTAAGGTGAAAAAACCACTTCTCCCCCTCCCCCTCTCCTTCCTCACCTCTCCCCCAGAAGACGGCCCTAAATCCGCCTATGGATGAGCCGCATTTCCATCTATACAGCTGGCAACTTTTCCAGTTGCTTTATCCAGTGGTCGTCGGTCTGCCGACAATCCTGACAATTGTTTCGTCACCTAAAGAAATTGATAACCCAACGGTTCCCCTCCAATATTCACTCTCAGGGAAAGATGAACGCACTCGGTAAGCAGCCTGAGTGGTAGCCAGTGTCAGCAGAAGCCACTCGCTCGTGTCGACGGACCTCCTTCCGAGGGTTGCTTATAAGCAAGCTGATGACTACCTGGCAAACACCAGTGCGTGAATGAAGTGTAGAAAGACTGGATTTGCTGCTGGCGGGGGGCGAACAATCAGCCTAAAGTACGACAGTACTGCTACCCTACTGCGCCACGCCTGCCGACTACTGTTTAAATAGCCCTTATGATATCTGGTTCTAATAGGTAGCTTAGTAACCAGTATCAAACAAACTTTACACTCCTCTACGTTCTGTACGTCATCAACATGACGACGCACCTGACTGTTTTTACGGTGACAAAAAGATATCCTGAACATCTTGTGCCCCTAGTGCTTTCCCCGCTGAAGACTGCGTTTTTTTATTTTCATGGAGGACAACATTCCCCATTTCCTATGTCATCGCTCTTAACACGGCGAAAGCGAAACAACTAACAACGGGAATAATATATAAACCTTGAATGATAGATGAGGCGGTGGCGGAGGTGGCCTTGATGGCACTGGATTGTACATTCCAGGATGCGGCTCTGTGGGCAAAGGTGGCTGTTTTGCGACACGAACAGGTCCACCTTCGTGCGCCTGCTTCATTGCTATTAGTGCTCGTCTTAACTGTTCTGGAAAAATGCAACCATCATGTTTAGCTTTAGCAATACAGTCATCCTGTCGAAGTGAAATTTTCGATATTACTCATATGCACAGAGGTGCTCGCTCCAGCCACGTTAAGCGATCCAGGCTCTTCCACTGCTAAGCTTATACGAAAATACTAGAGTACAATGAAGAACTTGTGAAAGTGAGATGAAGGTTTGGAATGTGTTCGTGAAATCCTTTTAAGTACTGCTTCTGCAATTAATATAAATCAAATTAACTGTATCAAATAAAACAGCGCAAGGCAAACACCGTTACTCTCACACAAAAAGTTATACAGTTACTAACCCGGCGTCTGCTCGCTTCTAAGTAACTCCCGAAAGAGGGAATCATCGACAGTTTTCCAGGCAGGCACTTGGTGCTAGTAGTTGCTATCACTCAGACTGTTTCCGCTTGCCTAAATCTCTTGCGGAAAGTGAATGCAGAGAGAATTTCAGCTTCTGACCAACACAGAGGCTATCTCAAAAACGCGTCCCAAAGAGGCGCTACAAGACAGCGCCGTCACTGTTACACCAGCATGAATACAAAAATCTTTTCGTTGAATGTTTGATGGTTGTTAGCTAAAGATCCTTATTATTTGCAAAAAGCTATAAAGTCATTAAAATGATTAATGCAAAAAGACTAAATATAGCAAAAACTGTCACACCTTGTATAATAGGTAAGGAAGAAATTTCTTCAGGGAAACGACTCTTCCATTCAGTATACCACATAACCACTTCCTGTGGTACAACTCTCGGAGATTCCAGCCATATGCACAGTGTTTCGTACCACTGCAAAATGTTCGTAACAATGTATGGGAATTCGAAAATCTTCAGCAAATCAACGCACCAACTGCCGGTGCGAAGATACGTTTTTTGCAAAGTTCCCCGCAAGTTTTTGTCGCTGACGGCACTGTTTTTTCCCGCAGTTGATCCTAGCTAAAAGAGTTGCTGCTGGCCACAACGACTGTCAAAAAGCGTTCCCTTAAATTTCAGTTTCCTAGCTTTTCTGGTTCCAGAGTTAGCAACTTGCCCGTCAAAAACTTTCACGGGCCACACATACCTGGGGGCTGAATGTGAAGTCATTAAATTTCACGTGGACAGGAACATCCCCTTAAAATTTCAGCTTTCTAGCTTTCCTGGTTCCCAAGATAGCAATTTATTTGTCAGAAATTTTCACGTACCCCTGACTACCACGTGGGCATGGGTGCCCATTTTGGGGGGTAGGGCCCGTACATGCATGTAGATTAAGTTGCCAAAGTTTCCGCCTTTGTAGGTTTTGAGATGAAAACTCGGTACAGACGCGCACAGATACACACAGAGACAATCTCTCCAAAGTATTCGTTTTTCATTGCATAGATGCAAGATACGCATAAAAACATCATGATCTGTATCCATATGAACTCAAATAATTCACGAACGAGCCCGGGCAATTAATATTCTTTCTATGAAATGAGCAAAAAAAAAACACATCACTGGTACTTCATATGTTATGGTTTCTTTACAATTTCTCACAAGCACTGAAACTAACCTAACTTAACTTGCTACTGTTCCTTCCTATCTCACCTAATTTAATAAATGGCAACGCGCACCAGACTAGCCGGTGCGATCATGCGTTTTGTGCAATTCAGCCC